CTAGGGTTTCAGGATTGTTGATTCTCTGTTTGGCTTAGTTTTTCAGATCTTTGTTGTGGAGGGACGGCGTGGTGCTTCTGCCTAGACCGCCATCTTGCCGGAGTCCTCCCGCGTCTTGTTTCTTGCTGCTACTTCCATGGGTGTTGATTGTGGATCCAAGTAAAATGAAATCCTTGACAATTTCATTTTTTCTCCATTTATCATGATGTTGTTTATTGGTCCAGTTGTGAGGATTTTTGTTTTCTTTATGTTGAGGTGTAATCGATATTGAAGGCTGTAGTCTTTGATCATCAGTAAGTGCTTCAAGTCCTCTTCGCTTTCAGCAAACGAGGTTATGTCATCTTCATATCGAAGGTTGTTAATGAGTCTTCCTCCAATCCTGATACCACAGTCTTCATATAGTCCAGCTTCTTGGATTATTTGCTCAGCATACAGATTGAACAGAGCCCTTGTGGCGCAGAGGTTAAGAACTCTGCTGCTAACCAAAAAAGTCAGCAGCCGTTCAAATCCACCGGCAGCTCCTTGGAAACCCTATGGGGCAGTTCTACTCTGTCCTGTAGGGTTGCTATGAGTGGGAATCGACTGAATGGCAACCAGTTTGTTTTTTTTGGTTATACAGGTTAAATAAGTGCGGTAAAAGAATAAACCCTGACACACACCTTTCCTGATTTTCAACCATGTAGTATCCACTTGTTCTGTTCGAACAACTGCCTCTTGGTCTATGTACAGGTTTGCATGGACACAGTTAAATGTTCTAGAATATCTATTCTTTGCAAAGTTATCCATACACACCCAAACACACACACGTACATGCAAATATATGTATATAAATGTGTTTGTGTGTGTAACTTTTTAAACAGAATTTTGATTATATTGTATATACTCTTGTAAACTTTTCTCTTTTCACTTAGAAATCTTTTCATGTATAGGATACTGTATACATGTAGAGCTGGTCCATATTGTTGTTGTTGTTAGGTGCTGTCCAGTTGATTCTGACTGATAGCAACCCTATATGACAGAGTAGAACTGCCCTATAGGGTATTTTATGCTGAAATCTTTATGAGAGCAGATTTCCAGGTCTTTTCTCCTTTCATTAGCAGCCCAGTGTTTAATTAACCCTTGTTAACCATTGCATCACCAGGGCTCCTTTTAATAGCTGCATAATAGTTCACTGTGTTGATGAATTGTGATTTATTGAACTAGTTCCCTATTGATGGACATTTGAGTAGTTCTAAGTTTTCACTATTATAAATAACTTCAACCTGCATGTACGTGTATTTTGCACTTGCATTAATAAGTGCATACAATATACTTAAAAAAAGTAAAATTTCTATGTAAACGAGTTTCAACAAAATATATCTTTTTTTAAAGAGGTAAACTATGTGTGAGAGTGTGTATGCATAAACAGTGAGAAAATAAACATCACAACACTGAAGGGTTATTTGGGAGGTTCAGGAAATGGTGGTTTTCATATTCTTTTGCTTCTCTGTATTTCTTGTTTTTAAATAAGGAAAAGAGTCATACAAAAATTAATTTACAGACAATTTCACCTTAGGGAATTTAAGACAATTTCTGCCTTTAGCAGGGCACATAACACTGTGCTGGACACTATGCTGAATATCTTCCTATATAATATTATTCAAAGTCCATGCAGAGCCATGTGAAGTAGTGCCATTATTGACAGTATTCTCCCCCGACCCCCATAAGGAAACTGAAGCTGGGAGTGTCACATGGCTGATAAGAGGTGGGGCCTGGATTTCAACCTAGGTTTTCTGGAACACTGTAGTCTAGAGTGGTCTGTAGTGAATTCATTTTGTTGTGAAGGTCTTTGAGGTGCAAGTTCATTCTCCAACTTTACAGATATGCAATAGGTAATATAGTAAAGCCCGGATGAACTTGTTTCCCTAGGAGACTTGTTCTGCCAAAAAAGATCTCCCCATGAGAGTGAGGTGAGCAGAAGCCAACTAGGACATTAGACAAGTTATATATTTCTCAATACCAACCTCCCATCCAATATCCAGCTTCCCCTCTGTAAAAATGTGTGGTGTCTGATCTCCTCTAACTTCACAAGGGAGAAGGAGAATCAATATCAACAGCCCAAGGCTGATTCCTATGAGGCCGAGGTCAGACATGCCTACTCTCTCTGCCATCCTTGCCATTTCCGACACCAGCCATCCCTCCCCCAGCACTCTCTACCTCTCTGCTTGGTTTGATAATTCATTGCAATGGCCACACAGAACTTACAGACAATATTCATGGTTATGGGCTTTTTTAGGGAAGTAACACGTTACAATTCAGGTTCAAGAAAGCTCAGGAAAGAAGGTATTAATTTCCAGTGGTATCAAATTTATGTTTTCAAAAGATGATTCTCACTGAGAAGTCTGGATGTGAAGGGGGACCAGGATGACAAGCCAGAGAGCTAATGAGACCTGAGTTGGTTGGGGACAGAAAGCTGGCTCATTTAGCAGAGCAAGAGCAGCAGCAGCCACTGTATGTCATCGTCTCTGTCAAGTGAGTGAGGGATGGTCTTAGGGGCATTTATCAAGACCTAAGCTACTTTTGCCCATCATCCAGTACCCAGTCAGATACTCTGCAGAAACACAATCATATTTGTGTCATGCTGTTGTAGGGAGAAGCTCTGATTTCTGGTTCTTATTTTGGTAGCTAGCTAATTGAGATGAGTGCAATGTTCTAGAGTGCCTTTCTCACTTATTTTCTCAACCTTTTTACTTCTGTAACTCTTGGTGTATTGGAGGCAAAACTTACCTGCTTCAGAGAGCCACTTGTTAGCATTACTTCCCAACTCTACTTTCAGTGACATTGAATTGAGAACTTGAAACTGGATGTGATAGGAATATAAACATCATGGAAATTAGGAAAAGCTACAAATCAGTGACCCCCCTCCCCCTTAGAGAACCTGTTGTTAAACATTTACCAGTTCATCACTTCTATAACTCTCCTACTTCTGCTCACTGCCCAAACTGCCCAAACTACACACACACATAGCATACCACACACATACCGTAGTGTTTGAAGGATTGGATACCACGGGTTTTTTGGGAGACTTGTTTTTTCCACAGGGCAATGGTGATTTCTAAGAGAAACAAATTAATTTCCTTTTCTTTTCCCATCTTAAGTTTTACATTCATTTTCAAAAGGCCAAATATGGGCTAAGTTTTTTCTTTCTCCCCTAGTGGATGGCTGTATTCACAGAGCAGCTGGTCCCTGTTTGCTAGCCGAATGTCGTAACCTCAATGGCTGTGATACTGGACATGCAAAAATTACATGTGGCTATGACCTGCCTGCAAAATGTGAGTACAACTTTTTTGAATACTGTTTTGAAACAAGATAGAATTCTCACCTTGTTTTATTTCTCAAGTGTGTAATAGGTAAAGGAAATTGCAGTGGTCATATTTAATTTAATGCGCTTATATTCAGATTTTGTGTTTTCTCAATATGTCTACAAATATATATATATGATGTTTAACTGTAGGTGTTTTTGCTCAGGTTTCCAATAGACTGCCTCTGCAACAGGGAAATAAAAATATGAGTACAATATACATTATAGTGTTTAAATGCCACGAGTGACAGCTTCTAGAAATGATGCCAATTTCTTATTCCTTGTTCAGGTTTCTTGATTGTGGATGTGTTTAGAGCAAAGGAGATCAAAGTGATGTATTTTCAGCTGCCATGTAAAGGCTGATTGGCAATTACAGCCAAGGCATCTGTCACACTTTGCTTTCAGGAAAAGCCAATGGAATGTGGTTGTCAGTGTGAGAATCTGTTTGCTCTTTGAATGTGGAATGGTCAAAATTTCCATTACACTGTATTTGAATAGAGAGAAGTATTGCATTTGATTGACCTTGTTGCTTAGTCATTTAGCCAGCTGGGTGGGGGTGGTGTGGAATAAAAATGCTGCTAGAGAAGTTGGTTCAAGGCACAGCTCTATTATCACACAATCTCCAGAGCCTGGGGATGGAGGTTGAGGGTCTCCTTGCACAGTATGCACTGACCTGGAAATTAGGACAACAATTGATTGTTTAGCCCCTTCACCTGCTTCTTATAATGCTGCCTTGGTCTGTGAATACATTTCATGTAAAGTGAAGCTGGTTTTGCTTTTGTTTTAGCAGTGGAGAAAATGGGACTAAAAATTATAATACAATCTGTAGAATGTTATCTGGACTTTGTATAGACAGGTTGTATAAGAATGAATTTCCCCCACATTCCCTTGTGTGAATGGAGAGATAGTGTGTTATATGTTAAAGATTAATTTTAAGTATGTTTAAATTTGAGGGTTTGTAGTAAATTGTAATACATTCAAATAGTGTTTTTCTTGTAAACGTTGTAACACTACATTCTAGATTGCTCACAGTGGATTGTTATTGAAAGTACATGAATTTTATATCGTTTAATTTTTCTTTTGTTTAATGACTTATTTTTCTTTCTTTGTTTTTACCTTGTGTGAGTCAAATCATGTGTTCAATGGCCTCTTTTTCTTACTTGCAATCTATGTTTATGTTAAATAAAACCCTTTGTGTACAATGGTGTTGTCCCTCTGACTCAGATAGCCCATGATCTGAGTATTAAAGGTGATTTCCTCTGCCAAATTTACGGGTGTTGGTCCTTTTGCCTTTTTATATCATGCTACCTTGTAATTTAGCTAGCCTATACCACCCTGAGAACAAGCAGGCTGTTGATTATTTTCAAGCTTGTGTCTACCCTGAAACCAACTCATAAGTCGGCTCCCCTACTGACTCACTACTTACTTTCCTTCTTATGTGAATTTACCAAAGCAGGTTACTTTTATACTCATATTTATATTTCTGTATATCAACTGTTATAGCACTACTAAAACACAAATCAAAATGTCTTCAACTATGAGATTTCTGGAGACAGATAACCTCAGAATCATTAAATATGACCAAATAAAATGGTGGCTGTAGAGTATGGGTTCACACTGTGATAATTTTTTTTTTTTTAATGTGCTTGCTCCTGTTTGATATCCCTCTGAATAAGTTATTCAGCTTTCTTTGAATGTCATTCAACATTATTTCAGCATTATTGAGGGCTTTCGTAATACCAGGCACTGAGGTACAAAGATCAATAAGCCAATATCTGTGCTTGAGGAACTCTCATTATTGACTCATCTCTTTGAGTGATTTTCCTGGGCATCCCAGGGCAAGTAGGGCTTTGCGGAACACAGACTCTGGACTTGGAAAGTCAATCTACAGGACTCGGCACAGAATCCATGTGAGCTGAGATACTGAGTGCCTGGCACATACTCAGCTCGCCTCTCACAAGCCTGCAGTGCACATCTAGAAACGGCTGTGTTACCCAAAGCAGGTCCTGCCTGGTGTGGCTTCTCATCAATAAAGACATACTGAGGTGAGGAGGCAGGAAGAGCGTTTATCGCAAGTGTGCAGGCAAGGAGCAAGGAGGTGTATACCTCAAATGAAGCTCCCGGAACAAAGGGAGGCAGAACCTTTTATACTGTCCCTCACAAGGAAGTACATACAAATATCATGGACTACATAGGTTATCATGGCGTGCAGACACAGTAAGACAAATTGCATTTTTTTTTTTTTTTTCCTTTAGTATGAACAGAAAATGGTGGATAAGTCCTGCCCTGGGAGGAGATTTTACTATTCAATTAGGTCTTAATGAGGCTTAGGTTCCTTTGGGACACTTTGAGGCTAGTAAACTGATTTTGAATGGTTTTATCTGGGTCTTGTTTTTCTGTAGCTTCTTCTTCCCACTGCTGCAGGTGGGGAAGTGTTGGGAGGGATTTTAGCTGAGGAGCTGACTCAAGGTTCCTATATCAACTGGACTGGAATGACGGTGTCACCTCATGAAAGTCACAAACATGGGATCATTGAGAATAGGCCTTGGTATTTCTATATATTTAAAAAGATTAACAATTTATGTTAAAAACATAATGGAAAACAATATAACAATGAGTATCTTACATTTATATGCCACTTTACAGTATTTCATGGTACTTTCAAAGCCTTATATTTTCAATTATCTTTTATAAACATGGTGTGTGTTCATTTTCCGTTTTCCTATCCTTTAGAGATGTTTTTCTTTCTCATCAATTTGGTTCATCCATTTCAGAATCATTAACAATCCACAGATGTGCTCTTGTAGTGAGAGAATGAAATGGGAGCTCATTACATACTGTTTGGGTCATTTTTCCCCTCCATATTTAATAATTCCATGACAGTTTGACAGCAGAGACTAATTCCTCTCTGTCCTCTGTGACAGCAGGTTTACTAAAGCCAGTCATCCAGCCACAAGTGATAATATCTTCATATATCAGCAATTTGTTCGGAAAATGCTATTGTCTGAGTTACAGACAGACTTGGTAATTTTGGACTGGTCTTTGGTTTTTTATGCTTGCTAAATTAATCTGTTCATAAATGGTTGTACTTGAATTAATTATACTTGTAGTTTGTGCTCAGTGACTCATCATGATTGGTGAAATAAGCCCCAATGATTTAGTTTATTTTCCACTACTTTGGTAGTTTTGAGTGATTTCAAAAGCAATCTTAATTGTGTAAATACTAGTGACCAATATTTCAGTGAGAGCCATTGCTAAGGAAATTATTTAGGAAGTGGTTGAAGGACTATTTATGTAATTGGACCTTCGGAGGATCTCCTATTTTATAATATTAGATATTTTTGAATTCGTAATAAAATTTAGGTTTCCATAGATTTTAGAAGCTCATTGGCATTTGGGGCATTGCTATTCATGCTATCATCATTCCACCAGATGTTCAGCTTCATGTGGGCAAGGGCAAGGTTTACCCATCTCATCATGGTTCTAGTGTCATTATCTAGCATAGTGACTCCATAAGTATGTATGGAATTAATGTGAATGAACAAGTGGGGGCAGATAGGATGTGGTGAAACCTATGTGAAATTGTTCACTAGAGATTAGTAAGTAAGCACAAGTAAGCCCATGCTTACGTTGCTTACTGGGTCATTGCCCTTGTCAATTGGTAAATTTGTAAAAAGGCTTTGATTCTGTAGGCAAGTTCTGTGGGGTTGGGAGAGAGAGAGATGGCAGCCATACCTAGAAGCAGACTCTTTGATGTGCTGAAAAAGTGTGAAATTGTTCACTACAGATCATCTGGTAAGCAAAGTAAGCACCATGTTTACCTTGCTTATTGGATAATCCTCCTCTGTGAATGAGTGATCAAATGAATGAATTATTTCAGACCCTTTTCACATTATCAGCTGGAAAATGGATTCTCGATTGTTGCCCCTTCTTCTAATACTTTCCTTCCTGCAATCCAGTGTGCTCAGTCCTGGTAGATTAATATTCCTAAATCTGGAGTTCTTGTAATGATCCACAAGGCTCTATGTGATGTGACCTTCTTTATATCTCTCTAATATCATCTCCTTCTATGCTGTCCCTCACTTGTGCATGTTGCTTTGCTATTCCTCAATGCCTTTGTATCTGCTTTCCCTCTGCCTGGAATTCTATTCTTCTAGATAACCCAAATGGCATGCTCCCTCACCTACTATAAGCCCTTGATCACATGTAACCTTCCCAAGTGTTACTATAACCAATCTACAGGCAGTTCCTAGGTTACAAATGTCCTACAGACAACTCATACTTACCCTTTAATGTTATGTAAATTTGACCTCACTTTGACAAGATTGAACCAACCCCAACTTACAACAAATTCTTCCTCATAATCACCTTCACTTGCTGCATGTGCAGCTTTTAAATCATTGAAAAGGCTTCAATGTTTTTCTTGCGTTAAAGTACATGTAAGGCTAAATAAGAACCACATGCACCTGTTCTGACTTACCTATGAATTCAACACACTTAGGAATGGATCTCGTCCCTAACCCGGGGACTGCCTGTATTTATAATTGCTGATCTGTAGCATTGTACCCTCTAAGACTATATCACTTACTTATTTCTTTTGTTTATTGTGTATCTCTCCTTACTAGAGTGATGGTGGGCATTTTGTATGTGTGTGTGTGGGGTGTGTGTGGGTGGGTATCTTTTTCATTAATACCAAACCAAACCAAACCAAACCCATTGTCATAGAGTTAATTCTGACTCATAGTGACCTTATAGGGCACAATTGAACTGCCTATAGTGTTTCCAAGGAGCAGCTGGTAGATTCGAACTGTCGACCTTTTGGTTAGCAGCTGAGCTCTTAACGTTTGCGCTTAGAAAAGTGCCTGACACATAATAGAAGCTCAAAAATATTTTTTGTTTTATATTTTTATTGTACTTTAGATGAAAGTTTACAGAACAAATAGTTTCTCATTAGACAGTACACATATTGTT